TTTTGGGGTGGGGACACAACCCTCATGCCTCAGCTTTCCAGAGTTCTGGAGTTGCAGGCACGCCTCCCAAGCCCAGCTAAACCACCTTATATTTTGTATTTCTATTATTATAGTTCTTATACACTAAGTGTGTGAACTAAACTGGTTCCAATGCTTTCATGCATGGACTGCGACTAGCTGGTTCTAGCAAAAAGAAAGCATTGTGTGTGTGTGTGTGTGTGTGTGTGTGTGTGTGTGTTCGCGCGTGAGACGCAAAGGAAAGTACAAAATGAAGGAGGGATTGCAAGAAGCAGAATCACTGCCCGTCCTGAGTCCGCTCTCCCTCGCTGCCCCCCAGGCCTTCAGCCCCGTGCGTGGACCCGGATAAGGGCCGCACCAGGCCCGCCCGGAGAGCTAAGCCTGTTTCCATGGGGACGGGACGCGTTGCCTAGGGGACGGAGGAGGAGCCGGGAACGGAACGCAGCGCCGCTGGCTGGACCCGCAGGTGCCGCCCTGCGAAGCCGGAATCGGTTTGAGCCCGGTCTGGGTGCGGGGCGGGGTGGATGCCGAGGCAGGAGGAGCGGGCCGGGCCGGGCTGGGCGCCTTCCGAACCGCGCGCGGGGTCAGCGGGCCCGGCCGAGTGGACCCCGCGCCCGGGCTTTAGACAGGGGTGGTACAGACCACCCGGCCTTCAGAAATTCCCCGGTGTTTCCCTTACAAACGCCCCTCCAGCCTTACGGTGGTGACGGGCAAATGCTGGCAAAGCTTAGAAAGTGAGGGATAAACATTCCTCCACACTCCCTCTAGACCGGAAAGGGCGGAAAAGCTACACTGCGTGGATCTGAGCTCAGGGCCGAGGCGATGCGTCACCCTCGGAACCACGCCGCCGGGACCGAGCTCCCTGTTCGTGGTCTTTATTCGTTTTCGAGAGCTGTCAGCAAAATACGAAGACGCAGGCGACAGAAACCAGTGTCCTCACCGGTCTGGCGGTGGGAGCTGGAGCGCAGCCCGGGCGGCTGGGTCTCTCTCGCTCCCTGACTGCAGGTGGGCGGCTGCCCGCCCCGGCCTCTGCCTCTTCCCTCTGTGTGGCCCGTGCGTCCCGATGTCCTCGCTTACAGGACACCGGCCATAGGACGAGGGTCTGTACCACCCCTGTCTTGACCTCCTATCTCCAAATAAATCCCACTCTGAGTGACCAGAACTTAGGGCTTCGGCATGTGCGTGTGTGGGGATCATCCAACCCATAATACACTCCATTTATCAACTTTCCAGGTCTAAAAGAAAAAAGATTCCCTGGGAATGCACTTGGAAGGTGAACTAGAGGAATTCAGCCAGGTAGCTCATTACGGAGGGAAAATGAATCATCAGCAGGCGGGCTGCAAGCTCAGGGCGGTCCCGGCCCAGGGAGGAGGGAACGCAGATAAAAGGTTGGAGCGGGGAACCGACATTTGAACTGACACGGCCGCATCGCGGGAGTCAACCTCTAGCTAACCCTTCACTGTCAATGCTACTGCTTGGTTCGTGGGCTGAGAGGCTCTTGGTTTGCCTGAGTTTTTCTTTAAGTAGAACTTGCTAAAGAAGCCTGCTCAGAGGCCTGTGGAATCGACAGCGTTTAGTTTTGTTTGTTTCTGTCTTCGGTGTCAGCGGTGCAAGCCTTTAACGTGAAATATTGCCCTTAAAGGCAGCTGCTTTTACGCTCTGCGGAATTCAGGTTGTGGCTCGGCTTCCGAGGCGCGGATCCCGTGGGCTCTGACATCGCGGCCGTAAACCGGGCCCGTGCATGGTTTGCCGGGAAGAGAGACTGGGAGCTCACTGCGCCCCAGCTGACAAGTTCTCCATCTCGTTGTCCTCCACCCCCAAACTGTCACGACTGACCTAGGAATTAAGAACTGAAATAAATCCAGTTTCCTTTCTAAACGGTTTTGCTGTACATTTGGCAAGAGTCACCTTATTCATCCGACTTCCTCTCGTCCTTCAGGAGATCATCACGAAGTTCATAGTTCATTACAGGCCAACCGGAACGCTTGGTCCTAAGATGCTGTGGAGTCCGCAGGCCCCTGAGTAGGCGGCTCGCTGGTCAGCGCATGCTCACTGCTCCTGGAGGGATGCGAGGTGCGTTCTCCCCTGAGATCCCGCGAGGTCCAGGTGACATCACCGCCCCACCTTTAAGCGCATGTGGGAGTACTCCAGACCCCTGTGTGCACCCTCAGGGAGTGAGATCACCTCTCCCACCCCAAGCTGATAAAGGGGACAAGATCTACTGAACACAAAGCTAACTTTGTTGTCCTGCTGTGGACACGCAGTGATGCTTACCGGGGTGACTTTCTTTAACAGTTACCATGCATTCAGGGGTTACTCTTGGGCTTTATTGGACAGTCAATTTTAGCTTTGTCTCACCGAATAAGAATTTGATAGAAAATCCAGAATATGACCAAGAAAAATTCAGAAAGGAAAGAAAACAGGATCAAAGAGGGCATTGCATGGAAGATACCAAATCACTGGATGATCGGAGAAGATACTAAATTGCTGAATGAAGTCTTGTTTTCTAAAGCCGAAGAAAATTAGTACAGGAATTATGGAAGAAGTAACCCATGTAGGAAGCAAGTAAGCAACCAGACGTTTGGAGACCAAGGTTGATGGCCAAGGGGTAGAAAAAAACGGAAACGGGATGCTTGCAAAATATGAAACTGCAGCATATAATAAGATTATCTTAGCTTCACTTAACTCTTACATTTAGTATTCTTAAAACTGTCATTGACACCTAAAAGTAATTATTTCTTCCCACTTTTAAAAAATCTGTGATAAGCACAATAATTTGCTAAAACCCATGTCATAGCTGAAGTGATTTACTCATAGCAAAGGAATTGCAAAGCAACGTTGTTTTTAAAATCACACCCATGCTGCGATGCCTCCTGCCCCTGTTGCCACCTTTGTGATGTCATCTTCAGGCCACCCCGGGTTCCCCTCCGGAATCCCGAGCCTTCTCCAGCTCCCCTTCATCATGAATAGAAACATTCCCCGGCCCGCACGGATGTGGGGTTCTGAGCATGTGGATATCCGTGAAGAATGGGTCTGTTTATAATTCTATAGTTAATTTCGTGATCTGTCCAGTTCTATTTTTTACCTAAAACCGAAATGTAATGCTGGTGCCAAAGTAATCGATTATGTGTTAAAATTTGAACTGGAGATTTCTTCTTCCTCCCCCTTCTGAAGTAGGAATTTACTGAAAGATGATGGCAGAAAGAGTTCTGCAGAAGTTAGACGTCCTGGATGTGCGGGCAAAGGCTCTCCTGGACAGACGGGCAGAGGTCTGTAAAGCAAACACCGAAATGCAATTTAATCATTAAGATACTCACATTTCAAACGCAAGTGATTCTGCTTTCTAGTTAATGATGCATTAATCTGAAGATGTAACATAAAAAGCAAATAAAATGAGAAGTCATTTATCTAATGGAATAATAAAATAAATAGAAAAAATAACCGCTAGATAACTAATGTTTATGAAATGTACTAAACTTGCCTAAAATAAAAATAAAACTATGCTATAAGACAGTAAACATGACCTCTTGTACAGTCTCACCAATGTATTAAACATAGACAAAGCTTATCTTCAGTAGATAAGAGGGTGGGACTATCTGCCGTGCTTACTGCATTAGGAGTAATTAAAATTTATAGAAGTAATTGAGGTACATTTAAAAAGGCAAGACTCAGAGTTCAAGAAAAATATTAACAAAGACTATAATTCTCAAAACCCCAATTTTTGGTATACATGAACAATTCAGTTTTGATTCGCTGGAAATCTTAAATTGTGTAGTATAAAATCGTCTTTTAAAATTTCTCTTTCTTAATGTATAAATGTAAAACTTACTTTTGAAAATAAGTTGACACCTAGTGATATATTACAAAGTTATACATAAAGAAAGTTAAATACGGAAAAATTGATAGTCTTGGGCCTTTTCCCTGTAACTTTTCATTCTGAGGAAAACAAATTTTAACAGATGGAGTTTATTCACCCACATATTCTTTTGTGCTCTTACAATAACATACATATATGCAGACACTATCCTGCATGTAAATTTATGTAATTTATAATGTAAATATACATCAGTACAGGAAGGTAGATTTTTACCTATTTCCTTTTTAATGCAAAAAAAAAGATAGTACCTCAATCACTTTGGTAATTTTTTTAAAAATTGTTTTACACTGTAAAAAAAGTAACTACAGACTCAAAGGAAGTTGCGGATAGCATGCAGGAAGCCCACGCTCTTCTCCCCGGGTTTCCTGCAGTGCTGACCTAGTGATGAGCACAGTATTAGACCCAGGACGCTGACGCTCACCTACCGCAGTCAGCGGAATCACAGGTTTCGTTCCGCTTTCACCAGCGTTTAGCCTGCATCCCTCTGTGTAGGTGCCTGTGTGCGTGTAGTTCCGGGAAACCCCGTGCTCTGCCCACAGCTCTTTCCCGTTACTTCTGGGTAGTATCCCACCCGCCACCTCTATCCCGTGGCTACTGCGGAATTGCTTCCCTCTCTACAATTTCATAGTCTTGAGAAATTTCTGTGAATAGAGCCATTCTGGAGATGGACCTCTTTGCCAAGTGCAATGGCCCTTGAGGTTCCCAGGTTTTCTTGAGAATCTTTCTCCTGCACTCAGCAAGATCCAGGCAGAGGGTTTGGCCTGAGAACCCCAAAACCCAAGGGTTCCCCTTCCCTGCACCTCAACTGGAAGCCGCCCCGGCCGTAGGAGGTGTGCTGGCTTGGGGAGGCCACCTTTATCTCCTTTCTCTTGTCCCGCCTGCCCTGTCGCTTTCCCATGTCTGAGCCGTGGGGAATGTACTCTCATACGTTCGCATATTCTGATTCTCTGGTTCTTCACAGCAGGAGCTGATTCCCGCAGGACTGAATCCTTTTTGGGCAGCAGCCGAAGTTCCCGTTTCCCTTGACTCTGCTTCTAAATTTTCATCTCTTTATTCCTCTGTTCTTTGCCCTGGGAGAAATGTATAGAGAAAGTGGGGCTGGGGATTTAGCTCAGCGGCAAAAGCGCCTGCCTGGCAAGCTCAAGGTCGTGAGTTCGGTTCCCGGTACCGGAGAAAAACCAAAAACCAAAAAGAAAAGAGAAAGTATTCAGCTCCTTAACTCACATTTTAGCTGTGCCTCTTTCTTCAGTCCACTTGTTTAAGTATTTTAACAAAGTCCTCTTCTGATTGCTGCTTCTTTCCTCCTCCTTCCTTCCTTCCTTCCTCTCTCCTTCCCTCCCTTCCTTCCTTTAGCCCCTCCTTCTCCTACTTCTTCCTCCCCATCCCTCCTCCTTCTCTTCCTCTTCCTTTATCCCATACTGGGCATTGAACCCAGGGCCTTTGCACTGAGCTACATCCCTAGGCCTATTTGTTATTTTGAGACAGGATCTCACTAAGTTGCTAAATTGCCCTGACTGGGTGAGCCTCCTGCCTCAGCCTCCCAGAGCACTGGAATTATAGGAATGTGCTAGCACAGCTAGATTTCTGCCTCGTTTTCTTTATTTTTGATTTGTTTTGCCTTGGTTTGGCTTTTTGAGGCAGGGTCTCACTACGTAGCCCAGGCTGACCTCAAACTTGTGCTGATCCTTGTGCCTCAGCCTCCCGAGTACTGGGATTACAGGCATGCGCCACCACACCCAATATTCTGCCTCTATTTCTGGCTCACACAACTAGACAGTTTGTGCGATTTACCAGTGTGGGCAGTAAGGGAATGGTGTGGAGAGAGAGGTGCCTTCTGTGTTCTAGTAACTCTGTGCATCAGTGTTTGCTAAAGTCCATGTGTGGATGTTTGGTTCACCTCTGAACTGTACAGTTAGAAGGGAGCCTGAGCTCATCTGGCCCAACAACCCCTTCCAGAGATGGGAAAAGAATTCCTCAGGTCACCCAGCAAAGGCATAAAAAAGTTCATGCACAAACGTCTAACTTGAGATCTGTAATACTTTTCTATTATTGCCTGGTGCATTAATTCCGCGTGTGTGTGTGTGTGTGTGTGTGTGTGTGTGTGTGTGAAACAAGATTAATTTTTGTCCACATAGGCTTTTCCCTATAGGAAAAGTAATTATTTTTTTTTTCTACTTTGGCTTTGCTGCAGAAAAACAGGCTTCAGAATGAAGAGAAGAGAAAGACCCTGGTTATCCCCCTGACATTTGACTTTCATCTGGAATTTGAAGAGGCTGTCGCTGTACCCACATCTAAGACAGCATCGAAGATCAGAGCAGATAAGTCATGTGACACTAAGAAACCCAAAAAGTAACTATCTAAGGATGTTACACTTTCAGCCTGAAGGTTCAAAGCATTACTTTGTATTGTCCTATATTGAGTTAAACATACTACAATTCTAAATACCCCTAGTTTATAAAATATGTAATATGACAGTTTACTAATGTAGATAGTAGTTGCAGTTCTAAATTTTTAAAGAGAGGCCTTTCTTAAATTCAATTATATTGTTCCAAATTAATGTGAAGATTCCCCGCCCCCTGCCCCCCCGCCTTTGCACTGAGCTACATCCTTCTCCTTTTAAAAATTTTTTTTAAAAAAATTTCTTTTTTCAGATAGCATCTCCTAAATTGCTAAATTGCCCAGGTTGCGCTCAGACTTGTGATCCCCCACTTCTGCTTCCCAGAGTGCTAGGATTACAGGCATGTGCCGCCATGCCTGGGTCCAGGATTTATTTTAACTAAGGTGGAGAACATATACACAGTTGTGTGTGTATATGACCTACACACTTAGTATATGTGTATGCCATTATGTAACCATGTAATATATGAACAGTGACCCATTAGATACATTTAAAGACAACCATGGTTTATGGTGGTATTTTCCAGAATACTGTCGCTACTGTTTTCCCCTCAGATCAGATCATTTCCTGCATAGCTGACAGAGGCATCCTTGATTCTGTGTTAGCGACAGGGTAACCCATCAGTGGCTGAGTAATGTTCCTTTGGAGTCCAGATTGGCTGCTGAAGTTTGAGGCCAGAGGCAAAGTCAGTCTGGGCTGTAAAGTCAGAGGCACCTGTTTCGGAGATTCGGAGAACAAGTTTGGCTTAATCGGTGTCCAGAGAACCAGAACCACCGCCAAGGACAAAAGAGGACACCTTAGTCATTTCCCACTGCTGGGACAAACGCCTGACAAGACAACTTCAAGGAGCAGAGGCTCACTTGGCTCATGGTTTGAGTCCACGGTCATCAGGCTCCAGGGCACGACCCGCAGGGTGGAGGGGGCTGGGTGCAGGAAATCTGCTTGCCCAAGGGGCGGCCAGGAGGGGGCGTCCGGGCTGGAGATGGTCACTAGTGTCAGACTTGGAAGTTACCAATCTGGGGGGCGTATTGGCAAAATGACGTAAGCCCTGTTGTCACCTCCATGTCCACTGAATACCCTACATTAGTCACTTCAGGCTGGTCTGATCAATGCCACAAACTGCCCAGAAAATTATTCCTCATCGTTCCGAGGGCTGGACCATCCAAGATCAAGACGCTGGCAGATCCAGTGTCTGAGGCAGGCAGTCCCGGTTCTCGGGCAACTGTCTGCGCATTGAAACGGGAGGAGGGGAGAGAGAGAGAGGGAGACAGAGGGAGAGAGGAGGAGAGGAGAGGAGAGACCCATCTTATGAGGGCACCAATCCCATTCATGAAGCTTTTATAATTGCGTGCTGAAGGCAACTCTGTCAGGGACTCAGGAAATGAGAGGGAGGATTTTCTCTTCCAAGAGAACGTTGTGTCCTCTTACCTGTAGTAATCGCCACTCAAGTGTTGGGAGAACGGTGGATGCTAAGGGCCATTCTGCTGAGGTTTCCATGGACGTGAGAAGTGTGCTGTTGAAACTGGAGGAAAGGTGTCTTCTTACTTAAAGTAACCAAGGACGTGGCTGAATTATGTGTGTACTCTAGTATGCTGAGAAAGGCAGAATTCATGGACAATGAAGATGGGTATTAAGAGAGGGGATTTTGCAGCAAGGTGTTGAAGGAGTGGCTTGGTTCTCCTGACATTTACAGTCAAATGTGAGGGGAAAAAATAAAGATGGAATTACTTAGCAGAAAGGAACCATTGGGCCAGGGATATAGCTCAGTGACACAGTGCCTGCCTGGCAAGTGCGAGATGCTGAGTTCGAATCCTGGTACCAAAAAAAGAAAAGAAGAGAACCATACTGTAAAAATTTGGAAGATGTTCCGCCTGCCTTCATTGTGAAGTATGAGCAAGCGTGCTGGGGACAGAACACGAGAGTGTGGTGAATGAGCCCTTGATAAGGAGCCACACATGGGTGTGAGCCGCAGATCTGAGGAGCTATCACAATAAAGAACGGCTCATGCCAGGAATAAATACACTCTCACACTGACGAAACTGCCAGCTGGGACTAAAGGAAATGGAGGAAATGGGAAACTTAAGGAAGACTTTGAGATTCTTAGCTTCTACGGGAAAAGACCCAGAGAGTTATCACGGGTGCTCAGCTGCTGTTCTCCGGAAGAGGCGAAGAGGGACGCTGGGAGGGCCGCACTCCAGGCCTGGGTGCTCACTTGTGCTTCCAAACTCCTCCAGCCGGTGCCTGTCACCCAGCTCCGGTGCCCCTTTCACATTCAGGGGCCGGTCAGCAGCTCTGCCACCCTCAGTACCGGCGTCTGTCCTGCTCCAGGGTGCTGTGCCAGGTTAACACAGCCTGGGCGGCTTAAACAACAGACCTTCATTCCTCAGGGTCTCGGAAGCCAGGAAGCCCAAGGTTAAGGGGCCAGCAGACAGGGGCCTGATGAAGCTCCTCTTTCTGATTCGCAAGTGGCTGTCATCTTTCTGCTTCCTTTTGTAGTGGGCAGATAGAGAGGAGAGAGAGTCATTCCTTACTTGTCTCTTCGTATCAGGCACTAACTCCATTCCAGAGGGTACAGTCCCACAATGCACTGCAGCCCTAGGGCCCCACCTCCAAATGCTATGGCGTTTAGGCTTCAGCATTTAAACTTTGGGGGCACAAATGCCTGTCCATAGCGACCCCCCCACTCAAGATGTTTGTGGTGCCCAACCGTGGTGTGCGATGTGACCTCTTTCACACACTCATGCCTCCCTCCCCAAATTTCTCTTAGATAACTAAACATGTGAGGAGTCAGTAAGTGTGCCACAGGTGTGCAACCGGGGAAGGCGGTATCAGATCCATCTGATGGCACCAGGTTTGGGGTTCTTTGGGAACCTCCTGTGAGCTTTGTGGAGGTTTCCCCACCCCTTCACACTAAGAAGAGAGAGGCACAGCCAACCATGATGAGTCAATGATTCACAATTCTGATGCATTACTTTTCCCTGTGTAATAATTTTCTGCTATTTGGATGCATAGAAGAATGCCCAGCCCCATTCTATTGGTGAATCTCTGTAGAATGCAGGGTATTTATTGCTCCTTTTTCTTCAGCTCTAAGGTAAAAAAAAAAATCATTTTTCACCACATCTAAGATGATGAGATAAGGACCGCTGGCGGCTGAGTGTATTAACAAAATGGACTTGCTTTGGTTTGGATCGGTGTGCCCCAAAGGTCCCTGTGTCAAAAGCTTTGTTCCCAGTTCACAGTGCTATTGTGAAGTGGCGGTACCTTTAAGAGGTGGGGCCTATTAGGAAGTCTTGGGTCACTGAGGGCGTGGCTCAGAGGGAAAGGTAGGAGGTTGCCCTTCCTTCCTTCCTCTCTGCTTCCCACCACCATGGTGTGAGCAACTTCCCTCACCATATGTTCGCCCTGTACTGTGCCACCACAGGTCATGGGTTGAAATTTCCACAATTATGTACCAAAATAAACCTTTTTTGCCATTAAGCTGATTTAGCTCAGGTATTTGTTGCTACAGTAACGGAAGGTGATTAACACAGAATCCAGTACTATGCAGGATAAATGTCAACTCCACTATGACTAAATGGAATAAATTTTAGGCATAACAAAAAATATCTTCATTGTAATTATTGCACATGCACTATGTGCCACTCACTGGTCCAGGTGCTTAGAATATAATAAGACAAACACACAAGTATTCCACCCTCAGAGTTCATGGTCTACAGTAAGGTGGGAAGACAGGAAACCAAATACACAAATGATCACATACCACAAACCCACTAGTGAAAAATTCTATAAAGAAAAACATAATAAATTAAGGAAATTAAGATTACTATTTCTGATGGGTAGGGGACAAAAAAATCAGAGGAGAAAGAAAACCAAGCAGAGACAGGAAATAAAGGAGTAAGTTGTGTCAACATCTCAGAATATTACAGGCAGGGGAAGAACAAATGCCAAGGTCCCTGCGAGTTGCTTGAGCTCTTTTCAAACAGCTAGAAAATTCACTGTGCACCCCCCCGTGGAGGTTAGGAGAGAAGGGGGTGCAGAAGGGATCCGGGGAGAGTATCAGTGAAAGCTTCTTTTCAAATCCCAATGAGAAAGGAAAGGGAGGTTCTTTCTAGCAGTGAGACTTTTTAAATTTTATTCAAGTCTGATAAATAGTGGAAGAGAAATGTCAATCATCATTCACAAGTGTCCCTGTAGCTGCACTGGCCATAGAATACGAAGACAAGAGTGATAGGGAGAGCAGGCAGACGAAGGCTAGAGATGCGTAGGGCTGGTTCACACTGACGGGAAGAGCGCAAGGAGTGAGGAAAGAGGTGGTAGTATTCGGAATACCTTTCAAAGCAAGGACCAGGTGGGATCTGCTGATAGATTGAGAATGGGAGAAGAGAAGTCAGAAATGCCTTAAAACTTCATAGTTTTAATCTTCTGGAAGAATGAAGATGGAGAAGTTGGGAGAGGAACAGACAGGGAAGAGGTGATAACAAGAATTCGCCTTTGAATATGTTCAGTTGGAGACACCTAAACATGTCTAAGTGCAGGGTCACATAGGCAACAGGATACATAAACCTGGAGCTCAGGAAAGAGCTTGGGTCTGGGTGCCAAGCTGTAGATGATATTTAAGGGTGTGGGGTTGGCTGACATCTATCAAGGACGAGTGAAGTTTGAGGATCGAGTCTTGGGTTGCTCCAGCATCCAGACACCGGAAATATCATTAATTATATAATGCTGTTGTGGGAAAAATTGAAACAACAGTAGCCAGGAGCTCAGGAGAAGAAGGGAAATTTTATTGACCCTAGCGTGCCCCAGAGGAGTGATCTCCAAAGTCTGAGGCATTGATTACAGAGACCTTGTCTTATTTATGGGGTGGCAAATAGAAGATACGAGAGTGAGACAAGCTTTTGCGGAAGGTTATGCCACAGTGGGTGTCGTGTGGTGAGCACAGTTGTATACAGCGAAGTTGTTTGCAGTACATTCACAGAAGCTTCAGTTTGATGACAAAACACATGATTTAGCTGAGTTCAGTGGCAGAGAGCAGAGGGCCTGCAGCTGACTGAACAAAGTGGCTGCAGTTAGGGCAGGATTTCTGCTTCATTGCCACGAACTTCCTTGCCCACCACCAATAGCCAGTTGGGTTAGTCAGGGTTTTCCAAAGAGACAGAACCGATTGGCAAGGAGAGAGGGGTTAGAGGGACTGGTTCATGGTTCATGTGACTTTGGAAGCGGAGAAGTCCTGGACAGGCTGCTGGTTGGGAGCTAGGGAAGCTGGCTAGGTCTGGGAGCCCTAACCCAGGGCCAACGTCCGAGAGCCCAGTGGGCGGCTGGTGTGAGTCCTGGGGTGCAAACGGCAGACAGCCTGGAGTTCTGATGTTGGAGGACAGAGAGTGTATCCCACCCTGCTGGGACCTGGTCGGTTGGGAAGTTCCTGGCCACCCTGAAGGTGGGTCCTCCTCACTCGGTCCCCTGACTCGCACTCCAGTCTGTCCTGGACACACTGCAGACACACCCAGGAAGACTCCTCTCCCAGCTTCCAGGTAACCCCTAATTCCATCAAGGTGATGCCTAAAATTAACCACCACAAACCGAGAATTGGAAGGAGGGAAATTCTGTTTGTCATGCGACAGTGTTGCGATCCTCTCTAGTGTACAACTGTGGTACCTGAACTGTTCCTCCCTCTTGGTTCTAGCACTTTGATTCATGTCTGGTAGTGACCCCGATTTTACACTGATCTAATTGCAGCACACTTTTCTGAAAGGGATAGTCACGTCCCTTGTGAATAATAGTGTCCTTTAGTGCCCTTGACCCTATTACAACGGCACACAGCAAGCTCCTCTCCTCTACTTTAAATAATCATCACTAATATAGCCAGCTCCCGCCCAGCCATAATCTGTTACACTTGATACTATAATAGTATTAGCACCACACGCAAATACAGCATCCAAATCTAAATGGCTGAAGCTGCATATTCCTTCAAGTTTGTTTCATAGATTTGTTTTGTGAATTATTTTTAATCTAGAATAATTTTTATTTCCTCCAGGTTTATTTCCCTCCAACGTCAACCTGAACCTATCAAAAGTGATTTTGAAAAGTCTGATTTGAGGCCACATATTGTCCCATTAAATATAAAAAATCAAGAAAGTAAGTCAATAGGTAGTGCTTTGTGTGACATATGTACTTCTCTTTGACTTATTAATGTTGCTTTTCATATTTTTTATTAATGTGTATCTTAAAATTCCTGATGTCATTGAAAGCATTTGCATGAACAATAAAGAAGAATTTACCAAAGTGAAGGGAGATTAAATATCACAATGGCAGTTTATAAGATCACAAGATGCATTTTAATAAATGTATTTTCATGTTTATGGGGGTCATTTTTCTTTCTTCCAGAAGGAAAATACGTTTCCTTTCAGCTCAGTCTTAAGAGTTTCCTTGTCACTGGTAAATAGAAGTCAAATTCAGACAGCTTGCTTGATGGAAGCCCGCTCTCAGGATTAGAAGTTTGGGGGACTGGTGAATTAGGAGCCAGTGTTATGGGTGCTCACAGGATTTGAGGGTCCCGTGTGGCCTTTGTTTCGCCCTCCCTGCCTTTGTCACAGTGTGTCACTGTCTTCTCTGGCCACGGCTTCTTGTTCCCACTCTGCCCCACAAAGCCTCTTTCCTGGGTCACGGCTTGTGATCTAACACTTCAAGCGCTGTGTTTACATGTCTCTCTTGCCTCAATTCTTTCTTCGCCTCCACCCTCCTCTGGCCTGGCCTCCTGCCCCCACTATTCCACTGAAAGCATGACGACCAAGGTTTCCCGTGACCTCCATGTTGCCACATCCATGGGACATTTTTCTGTCCCCATTTTCTTCCACCTCTCAGTATGTACAGCTGGCTGACCCTCTTCCTCCTTGAAGCTCTCCTCTTCGGGCTGTGAGACCCACAGCTGTGTTCCTGTCCCCTCACCTCTCATTTTTCTTCATTTCTCGTCTCCATCCTTAAAGTACTGTACTTGCTCAAAGCTAATCCTGCGCCTGCCTCTGCTCCTGCACGCTCTCCTGGTGATCATAGCCAGTCTCACGGTTTAAAATATCACAGAGATGCTATTCAGCCTTTCGATTCTCCCTGTGGTCAAGTCAGATGCCTCCATCACACTGATACCTCCGTTAACCCCCAGATGTCTAGAACAGTGCTCCTGCCTCTGTCACCCCTCAGCTCCCCCCGGCAGCTTCCTTGCGCATGCCAGACCACCTTCTGCCCGGTGGCACACGCCTGCGACTCACAAGCCGCCTTGCACGGCCTTTCTCTCAGCCCCGAAGCTAACTACCAGCAAGCCCTTTCCGTTCTGCCTCACCTTGAATTAATCTTTTGTCACATTTTCACGGTCACCACCCTGACCCATATCGACATCCTTTATTTATACAACCGCAGTAGACAGCAGGTTTTTCTTCTTTCATTCTTGCCCTCTTTCTAGTCAGTTGCCTTCTTTCTGGTTAAACCATTTTAAATTAAGAAATAACATACAGAGAGAAAAGTGTGTCGGGCATATAAATGCCTCCTATTTTGTTTTCAGAACCACTTCTTAAGTTCTATCTACTTTGAGCTCCAGAGAACTAACTGTGAGCTCTGGGACACATGCTGGCTTTGTGTACAAGTGTGTGTGTGTGTGTGAGTGTGTGTGTGTATGTGGCACTGGACATTGAACCCAGGACCTCACGCATGCCAGGGAGGTGCTCTGCCACTGAGCTACAATCCCAGAGGCATACAGGTGCATGGCGTAATGATCATCATAAACCCCACACCTGTATGAAAGGACACAGGTCGAAGAAAAATATCGCCAGCGTCACAATTTTTTCCAGCCTTTCTCTTCTTTGTCCCTCAGTGTTCACACTACGGGGTTCCTCTGCCTTTCTTTATGTGCACAGCTCTCTCTAAAGAACCAGCGCATCTGTTTTTCTCTGATTTTTAAAGAACTTTATATCAATATAATCACACTTTCTGTATTCATTTGTATTTGCTTTTTCTCCACATTGTCTTTGAAAAGTTCACTCATTCTGTGTGGAGACACAGTTCTTCTGCTTTGTGTGTAAAATATTCCACTGCACGAGTTTATCACAAATGATCCTCCACCCCATTGAAACTGGGGGACTTTAGTGTTTCAGTCATTACGATGCTGAAACGAACGCTCGTGTTCATGCACCCTGCAGGGGACATGAAGAGCATCTCAAGGGCACATACGCAGGATTTTATTGCCGGGTGACCTTATCTTCAACCATGACAGGAAAGAGCAAACTTTCCAAAATGTTTGTGCCCGTTTACACGCCCACCAGATTTGTGAGTTGTTCTGCATCTTTGCTAAGGGTTGGAATTGCTAGCTTTTAAAATTTTGTTAATCTACTGGTTTATGTATAATGATACACAAATACAGTTTAATTTGCCTTTCTTTCTTTCTTTCTTTCTTTCTTTCTTTCTTTCTTTCTTTCTTTCTTTCTTTCTTTCTTTCTTTCTTTTGCACTGGGAATCGAACTCTGCACCTTGTGCTTGCTAGCCAGGCACTTGTGCCGCTAAGCTATATCCCTGGCCTTGATGTGCATTTCTATGTTTACTAGTAAGGTCAAGAACTCTTTATAGGCCTATTGATCAATTAAATATAACTTCATTAATTTATATTTATTGAGTATAAGTATATTAAATGTAAAATGTACTCTTGGAAATCATCCAAGTTTTAGTTCACATTAAAATTCAACTTTTGTCCTTTTCTCACTGATAGAAATGTCATGAATATCTTTTCTTTTTCAGTGAGTTTTCTCTCTTTGGGGGGGAGTTTCTTTTCACTCTTTGCAGGGTCTCTGAGAAACAGCAAGTTTCTACTTCGACAAATCCAAATATACTAAATCTTTCCCTTTCTGAGTAGAACTTTTTGTACCATGTCTAAGAAATCTTTCCATACTTTATGATCATAAAGAGATTTTCTTATTTGTCTAGCAAAAGACTTGGAAATAAATTTTGAGTGAGGTATGGGTCTAATTTAATTTTTTTCATATAAATACTCAGTTTATCAGCATGTTATTTTTAAAAAGGCTATTCTTTCCCTAACTCCTGAATCTTTCTTCTGGGGTTTTTATCCTTTTTAAATAGATTATTTTGCTTCTTCATCAGTACCACCCAACATTAATTTCTATAGTTTAAAATTCCAGAGAACAAGGCTTCCCACCATGTTCTTTAAGACTATGATGGCAATTTTCTGTTTTCCACTTTATGTCTTCCTTGACCTACTAGCTGTTTAGAAATACATGTCCTAGTTCCAACTATACGGGGTTTCCTATTTATCTTTTTGTCACTGCTTGCTAGCTCAGTTACTCTGAGGTTAGAAGGTATACTCCACATGGTGTTGTGATAGGATTAGTGGGCGGGACTTAGCGTTCTATTAGGCAGTAGGGACAGAGGCCTCAGAGTGGAGTCAGAAAGTCCAAAAAGGAGGCTGCTGGAGAGGGCCCTCCAGGGACCACACATGAACATCTGCATGTGTCCTGCAGCTGCCTGGGACCTGCCCAGAGCGGGATCAGACAGACCAGCGCTCACGCATGGGCCCCGCACGGGTACTGTGTGTGAATGCTACACAGAGTGAATCCCTAACAAACGTGCAGTCCGTAGGATGGAGATTACATTTCTTACACAACAGACTGAGCTCCCTTCTAAAGCTGTTAAAAGCCCCAGACAAAGAGCTGTCCTGGGAATCTGACTCCCAGCCCCTCCCAGTGGGAGGTTTACTTCCTGGCCTTCATCTCTTTTGCCTTGTTATGCCTTCATACCTTTCAAGTACATTTGCTTGGACCCTACCTCCTCTGTCCATAGTTCCATTCTGTCACTGTGGGCATGACCCCGGTGTTTGGTAACAATGTCAGTCCTATATAATAAGTTCACATCTGTATTCCTACCCAACATACAGTCAATTGTAAATGCATCTCTATCTCCTTTGAAATTTTATTTTGAGACAAGGTCTCTCTAAGTTGCCTAGTTTGGCCTCAAACTTGCGATCTTCCTGCCTCAGCCTGCTGATTAGCTGGGATTTTAGGTGTCAGTGCCGCTATGCCTGGCTGTGTGTGTCTCTTAGGTCAACACTTTTTGCTGTGTTTTTCAATTCATCCATATCATTACTGAGTTTTCTGCTTGCTTGTTCTACCATTTACCAAAAAATTTCAGACTTATTTTCCTTGGGGTGCTGTCAAATTCTGATTCATAGATTTTAGTATGGTTTAGTCTGTTATTAGTTAAATAAAAAACTAGAATTATTACATATGTCTAGTCAGTTGAACCTTTATTAGGAAGGCCTGTCTTATTACTCAATGTTAGTATCATTATCTTTTTTAGTTAGCAGTCAGTATATTTTTTCATCATTTTATTTTTAAATTGCTAGGACATTATGGTCTAGATTTATCTCTTGCAAATATCAGATTGCTAGATTTAAAGACTCTAATTCAATTCTCTTCTTTGGAATGGAGCATTTAATCTACTTAATTACCGGTATCTTTAGATTTTAATCTGCCATCTTATTTTTTCTACTCTGCTTATTGCTTCTTTTTCTATCCTTTGTGTTTTCTTCAGGACTGACTTTTCAATTTCCCTTTTCCCCTTTGCTGGTTTGTAAGTTATGTGCTCTGTTTCTATTCTTTAACTGATAACCCTGGATATTACACTACGCATTCTTCCAAATCTAATATTGAATTATAGATTCCTGAAGCTATTTTACTGTAGTCTCACATTTACCATCTGCCATTTCTGCTGTGCATTTTAATACTGCATACTTTAAATACAGAGACATTATTCATATTTTAAAATGCAATGTTTAAAAACTTTTGTAAATATTTATAGTTTCGTAAGGATAAAGACAATAATTTTGATGTAGCTTTTTGTTTCCATTTCATTTTTCTTAAATGGACCTTTTAGCCGAGTGTGGTGGTGCACACCTGTAATCCCAGCACTCAGGAGGCTGAGGCAGGAGGGTCGTTGCAAGTTCAAGAGCTCAAGCTCAGCCAGAACTGCATAGGGAGACCCTG